AAAAAAAATCAAAATTAACCTAGAGAGAATGGCTGTAGCATATGTTGACATGAGCTCTTGGCATTGAAACATAAAAAAAACCGACACCTTACAATTACATTGAAGCTCTCTTATATTAACCAAGCAAGATAAAAGTTTCTTATATTAACCACATGATAAGCAGCGTCACTTTGGTTAAACGCTCCGGACCAACCATCCAAAGTGATGGGGCATCCAATAAGTACAACCGTTCAAAATCATCCAAAGTGACGGGGCATCCAACATCTTGTGATTGCTCCTCTAATACATACAAAAATTATCATCTCCAAATACAACTGGACAACCAAAACATACTCATCTAATATTTATGTGAACATTTAACAGCCAACTGTCCAATAAACATGTGGTTGTCCTCGCACAAGAAAAAGATTAAGAGATCAGCTATAACAACCGTCCAATAAACATGTGGTTGTCTTCACTATAACCTCACAGGAAGAAATCTAGTAGATCAGCTAATCAAGAATTTCTCTGAAATTATATTCTATTGAAATAAAGAAAAAAAAAAATCTAATCAGGAACTGTCCAAAACCCCGTGGATGGCTTCTCCATAGCCTCACAGAAACTTTTATCCAGTCTAATAGTCCAATGAAAAAAGAAAAAAATCTAACCAACAACCGTTCAGAACCAGGTGTATGTCTTCTCCATAGCCTCACAGGAATTATTCTCTAATCTAATATTCCACTGAAAAAATCGTCAACAACGGTCCAAAACCCCGTGCAAGGCTTCTCCATAGCCTCACAGGAATAATAGAATCAGACAACAAAGATGGGCATTTCCATAGCCTCACAGGTATATATTAGAATCAGACAACAAAGATATTTTTCTACTAAAAAACATAAAATGTACTTGCAAAACCAATGCAAACACAACCACATTGACGTGTGGCCCAAATAGCAGGGGGTCTTAGCAAAACCTCAATTAACAAAATATAGGCAAGCACAACCGCATGCCAAGATAATGACGAGGAAAAATAAAACTACGATGTTCATCAACATTACTTGAAGCACCTCATCCATTTATTCTCTCATTAAAACTTAGGAACAAAGACAACAACCATAAAGGCCAAATTATAATAGTGCGAAGGTGGGAGCGTCACCGAGCTTCTCATCAATCTACTTTGATTTGGCAATGTGGCGAAGGAGATCCACTACACGGTTGCTGCAATAAACAAAACAAAGAAAAGTTGAGGTTTGGGAATTTACCTGTAAAAAAAATTAAGTTGGAGCAAACGAAGAAAAGTTTGGGAATTTACCTGTAGCCCCATTCGTTGTCATACCAGGTCACGAGTTTCACAAAGTTATCGTTCAATGCAATTCCAGCCTTGGCATCAAAAATGCTAGACCTATATTTATAACACCAAAAGTAGCATCATATAATCGCAACAAAAGAGGGAAAAATAAACAATCATTAACAGAAAAAAAAAAACAACTGGGGAATACAAATTGGGCTTTCATACAAATTGGGCTTGCTAAATTCCTCATTTGATTAACTACTTGAGCGAGCCGATCACACAATTTTTTTGAGTTCAATTTATAAATGAGACAAAACATTAACAGACCTTGATTCAATTGTGTTCTACTTATTTTAGCTCGAATTAATCAA